GCCACGGCCACCGCTCTGGCGATCAGAGGGTCAGCTACATCACTGGCGAGGCGCAAATGGCGCGTCAACAATATTCCCAGTGGCCAGGCCAGCCAGGGTCTGGTCACCGATGCGGCTCAATCGGTGGGAAGGTCGGCCGAGATCGTCCACGTCGGCTTCGACAGCACGGAGAAGATCAATTTCGCCATTGCCCAATCCGGCGCTGAGCCGAGCAACCGCTGCTGGGAGTCCGGCTCCGCCAGGCCCTGGGTGGTCACGGAGGTCACGCCAGGGGTCACTCGGAAGCTGGGCGAGGGCTGCTGAAACCGTGGCTGCTGAAACGGCCCTCCCGGAAAGAACAAACAGCTTCCCGGAATGAGGCGCGGCACGCGAAACAATCAACGGGCTTCTTCCCGGAAGGGCGAAGACAACTTCCCGGAGGTCGATTCTAGCAGCCCCGGATCTAGCGGCCCTCGCCCGGCTCTCCCGAGCCACAGCGGCGGCCGAGCAGACGGAGCCCGCGGCCTCCCCCGGCAGTGGCGCTCGCGGCGCACCTGCAGGAGCAGGGCAGCGCACCGCCGCCCCCGGCGGGCAACCCCTCCTCCCCCCTCCTCCCCCCTCCTCCCCCCTCCTCCTCCCTCCTCCCCCCTCCTCCCCCCTCCTCCCCCCTCCTCCTCCCTCCTCCCCCCTCCTCCCCCCCCCCCCTCCCTCCTCCTCCCTCCTCCTCCCTCCCTCCCTCCTCCTCCCTCCTCCTCCCTCCCCCGCGGGCCCTGCGCCGTCCTGGTCTGCGATGTTGCACGGCCATTCCCCAGCTGCGCAGGCAGGGGAGGAGCCGGCAGGCACGGCTGTCTCCACGCACGAGGAGCACGAGGGGAGCGCGCAAACGCATGCAGAACACGCACCTGTCCGACTGCCAGGCGCTGAGCACCAGCGCATTCTCGACCTGGAGAACAGCGTCAAGGACCAGGCCAACACCATCAAGGAGATGACGGCCGTCAGGATCAAGCCAGGTGCGGACACCGCAAACATCAGCAATCAACTCGACGACACCGCTGCGCAGATGCAGATAGCAGTGGCGGAGCTACGCCAGCAGAACACCATTGTCAGCACCACGATCGCGAATAACCAGGCGAGCCTACATACGAGCTTGCAGCAGATCTTGAAGCCGAAAGAAACGACCTCACGTACATGGGAATAAGCGCAAGCCCAAGCACCCACGACTTTCCTCAACCACCCCGGCTCTCACGACATCACCACAAATCCTTTGGGCCTCGCCAGGCTGATGCAAACTACTTGGGAATTTATTTTCGGGTGGTACCGTGGATCGAATGAGGCCCCATCCTGGGAAGGTTTCAAAGCCGAATCTGCGAAATAACTCCCACCACATGTACATTGTAATGATCCCTGTCTGAGTGATAAGGAGATTTGCGCTTTTATCCAAGCACGTCCCTCTCGCAAGGCTGGAGGTCTTGATGGGTGGGCGACAGCCGAATCGAAAGCTTTGCCGTCAGCCATCGTCGGTGTCTTTGCAGAGGCTCTTCGATTCACGCCTCAGTGTGGTCAGGTCCCTTTGGCTTTCACTCATGTTCCAAATCCTGCTTTGAGGGGAGGGGGGATACCTCCCGCGGATCAGAAGTTACTGGCTGTGCTTTCGGTGTGCCTTTACTCCTGGGAGGTCCCGATGTGCCGAAAAATCGAACCTTGTGGACGAAAGTGGTGTCATCCCACTAGCGTTAGGTCGGGCATGTCCTCACAAATAATCAAGAATAGTCAAACAAAAGTTCCCAGACTATTATTTGACTATTTTTGAATATTCCTCCAGTAGAGGGACATGCCCGACTTAACACTAGCTTTGCAGCTGCGGATCAAGCCAGACGCTCTGACATTTCGACGAGCTTCGTCCTGCAGGTCGAGTGGCCCAAGCAAATGGGGCAATGGATCCACGGCCTCGCTCTGAACTGGAAGAGGTGCTTCGAGCTGCCCGTGACCCCAGTATGCATCGAGCTGCAGCGACGCAGTGGATATCCCCAAAGTGCTCTTCGCGTGAGGGAGAGCTTTATGTTTCCATCGCAAGAGGTACCCGAGGATGTAAGGCACACGCGGCGACGCCCTCGACAGAACGAACGCCCAAAAACAAAACTCAACTTTCAACATTGATGATCTAAACTTGGTAATGTACGAGTGGACGGCCAGACACCACAGAATGATCCCACGGTCTTTGTCGGTAACATGTATTGATGACTTCAAGTCGACGGTCTGGGACATCGCCAGTGTACGAGAACCTTTTCAACAATCACTCCTCTTCGAACAAGCTTTAGGAAAATAACACCTGGGAGAACTAGTCGCGTGGACTACGGACGAGGAAGCCGTCGACCTCATAGCCAGCATCACCGTCAAAGGCAAACACTTACCTGTCAAAAGAGATGCAATTTTGGTCAGAAGCCACACCGTCGATGAGTGCAACGACTACCAATGCCTGTGGAATAACGTGCAGCAGTGGCACACTCGGTGGCAGCCTCAATGATTGCAGTGGGTGCGGATTTCGGCGGACTATCACGTAGCAAGCTGCGAGGCCACGGCCAGTCACTCTTCGCGGCGCTGATGCCAACGGGGAGACGATGGACGTGCCCGTGGATGCTCCGCGGCCTACTTCTAAAACACCACTTGCTCGACCCAGCCACTACCAGCCAACAAGAAGCGATGCTTTCGACCCGACGGCAAGTGCGAAGAGTACCTCAACTACGACGCTTTGCAGAAGACCGATGCGAACGATTCCAAGATGTACGACAAGCTGCATCTGGATCGATGAGAACCTTCTTCACCATGCTTGACCAATTGAGATGGGGATGGCCTACCTTCGACACGCTCGAGACCGACCTTGGTACTCCCATCAAATGGCTGCATGGGGCACAGCGACTTTCTGATGCACAGCCTTCGTGACGCTCAGAGCGAATGGTTTCAACGAAACATGCCTTGCACCAATAACGACCTCGGCGACGCTGCTGCCCACGCTCCAGGTAATGACACGGTGGCACATACTACGCTCAGTTAGCAATTTTCTGTGCAACCCTGCTTGGCGACTATGTTTGGTAGTGCCCGTTAATATGAGCCCGCGGCAAGAAGCTGGCCCAATGTATGTCTCCGTCTCGGCTCTCTCGTTGAACCGACTCCGTCCTCAGAGTCGTGGAAGGGAGATTACTCCAACTTGTTAGGTCCTTCGGAGGTGAAGCACGACGAACGAGCCTAGAATTACCACATCCACAGCTTACGGCATCACCATCATCATCAGCATCACCATCTCCATCACCATCACTATTACCATCACCAATACCAACAACATCGCCACCATCATCACCACAACCTCACCATCGTTACTACTATCCTCCTCATCCTCCTCCTCCTCATCATCACCGTCACCATCACCACCAACATGGTCATCATCATCATCATCAGCAGCATCATCATCATGATCATCACCACCATCATCATCACCATCATTACCATCGCCATCACCATCACCGCCACCACCACCAACATCACCATCATCATCACCATCATCATCGTAATCCCCCTCCTCCTCATCCTCATCATCACAATCACCACCATCACCACTACCACCACCATCGTCACCATCATCTCCACCACCATCATCAGCATCAGCATCTTCATCAACATCACCATCACCATTATCACCACCACCGCCATCACCATCAGCATCATCATCATCATCAGCAGCATCATCATCACCATCAACATCACCATCATCATCTTCATCACCACCATCACAATCATCACCGCCACCACCACCACCATCATCATCAACATCATCATCATCATCATCATCAGCATCAGCATCAGCATCATCATCATCAGCATCATCATCAGCATCAGCATCAGCATCAGCATCAGCATCATCATCAGCATCATCAGCATCAGCATCAGCATCAGCATCAGCATCAGCATCAGCATCAGCATCAGCATCAGCATCAGCATCAGCATCAGCATCATCATCATCATCATCATCATCATCATCATCATCATCATCATCATCATCATCATCATCATCATCATCATTCATCACCGTCCCGCGGTCCTGCTCTGCGGCGGCGCGCTGCTGCGCGACCTCCCTCTGCTTCATCTCGTCCATGGCAGCTCGCATCTTCACCCTGGCCGCGTTCCGCTCGAGGCGGGCGGCACGCTCCCTCGCCTCCCGGGCCTCCCGCTCGGCGGCCTCCTGAGGGCGGGGGGGGCGCGGCGAGAATGAGCACGGTGAGGGACAAGTGCATCTGGCATGACCTCCTCCTCCTCCTCCTGCTCCTTATCTTCCTCCTCCTCCTCCCTCCCGCCTTCCTTCTCTCCCCCCGCCTCCTCTCCTCTCCCCCCCTCCCCCGAGAGGTGAGACCAACAACAACATTGCGGATGGGGCCGTTGGTTGGCACATCTCCGCAGCGCAACTGGATCCGGCCTCCTGGCACGCCAACGCCAGTCCCCAGATCAAATTGGCCTTCCAGCACCCCCGCACGACAGCGCAACTGGATCGGGCAACATCCGCTCAGAATCGGTCCCTGGACCCCTGACGGGATGCACCTGAGCAGAATCTCGAAGAGAATTTAGCCCGCGCCGCTGGGAAGCCTGCTGGAAGCCTCAAACATAAAGAACACACAATTGCAAAAAACCTCGGTCGTCGAACCTCGACCAATACCTCCAACAACTCGATGTCTTGGGAATCTCTGGGGCCCAATTCTCTCGACCCCTTCCCTGTGACCCGTATTTCATTCCGAACATGTTTTTGACGGCCTGGGGCTCAAAAACATATTCTAAAATCCGAACCTGGAAATCAGAGACAGCAACGTGGAGTGGGAATTCCTCGCCGCAGTGTTCTGGCGGAGAACCACGGGCAACGCGTCCTCTTCCTCCTCGTCCTCCTCATCGCCATCCTCCTCCTTCTCATCCTTTTAAGCCCTCCATCTTTCTATCTTGCCATTGGGTTTCCTCCTCCACCGGCACCCGCTCCTGCAATC